CACACACACCCAAAATCGAGCTGGACGGGCCTCTGAGGTCACGAGGTTTGGGCTATCTGAGAGAAGCGGAGTCTCGTCCACTCTCCCCCCCCCCCCGCAGGGCGCCAGGTGAGCCACGTCTTCTTGCTGGGCCCCCACATCGGTAGATGGGCCTAGCCGGGCTAAGGGAGCGACTTCCGAACGTCCGGGAGAATACCTCCATAGCTGTCCCACCACCCGCCGGGCGTCAAAGCCCGTTTCCTGGACAACCTTTCTCCATCCCTTTTCCTGACCCCCAGGCCTGCTGAGGCCAACTGGCTGGAACGCCGCTGGGGCCCCCCCAACCCCTCAAGACAACGATCCGCTTCCTCTCTTCTCCCGCCCTCTTTGCCACAGTCCTTGAGCATCCCAGGAAGTGGCGGCGCCTCTTGAGGGCGGCTCGGAGGAGGAGGAGGCGCGGCTTGCTCCGAGCGAAGCCTCACGACGAAGGCTCAGGAGGACGGCGGTTCGCGGCTGACCATTAGAGTCGGAGTCTGAACCTGGGGCAGCACCGCTGGCGCACCCCAGTGCTCACCCCAGTGCAGCGCCGGGGCCAGGGGCCCGCTCCAAGCGGCTCCGCCCCCTGCAGCCCACCCGCCCGAGTCCCCACCCCTCAGCTCGACCCCGCCTCTCCATCCCGCGCCCCAGAGGCCCCGCCTTCGCGCTCTCAGCTGAAAACCCCTCTCCCGGCCCCGCCCCTACCGGCGGCCCCGCCCGCGCCCGCGCCCGCGCCTGGGGCGCACTTCTCCTCGCTCCGCGGCAGGGCCCGCGCGAGTCTCCGCGCTCCGTCGCCTCCCCTCTGCCCCTCCCCCCATTGCCGTGGTCTGGCACCGCCTGGCCGGCGGCCCGCGGGCGGGCCGCCCTACCCCTGTAGCCCACCCCCCTCTTAAAGCAGCGGCGGGAAGATGAGGTTCCGGGAGCAGTTCCTGGGCGGCAGCGCCGCGATGCCGGGCGCATCCCTGCAGCGGGCCTGCCGCCTGCTCGTGGCCGTCTGCGCGCTGCACCTTGGCGTCACTCTTGTCTACTACCTGGCCGGCCGCGACCTGAACCGCCTGTCCTACCTGGTTGGAGTCCCCACACCACTACAGGGCGGCTCGAACGGCGCCCTCGCCAGCAGGCAGCCCTCCGGGGAGCTCGGGCCGCGAGTGGCAGCGCCGCCGCCGTCTTTGGACGCCTCCGAGCCGCGTCCGGTTGGCGATTCCAGCCCAGACGCGGACTCTCGCCCCGGCTCCGCGAGCAACTTGACTTCGGCCCCAGTGTCCCCCGTCACAGCAGTGTCGCTGCCCGCTTGCCCGGAGGAGTCCCCGCTGCTCGGTAAGGACTCGGGTCAGCGCCAGTCCAAGGACTGGGACTCGCCGGGATTTCCCAGACAGGGCCCCCGGACGTTCGCCCACGCCCTCTCCCAGGACAGCTATCCTGCCTATTCTGGATTAGAGTCCCTAATCCCAAACAGAGGTTCCGGGCTGGGTGGGGGTGAGAAGTTGGGAGGTGAGTCCCTTTGGATTCATGTTGGAAGCTGGCGCAAGGTCGGTATGGGGAAGCCGCAGGCTGCTGGTCCCAGAACCTGAGAAGGCCTTGGAGACTTCCGAGACCTCAAGAAGTTTTGGAGTTTGAGTCTGCCTAGGGCTTGGAGCAGCCTTCGCCCTGCTGACTGGTGGGGACCACAAGGCAGCTCGGGGTAACACACTCTACTTTTGGGGGACGGATGATGAGGCCTCCAGTGGGGAAGGGAGCTGATCTCCCAGTTCACATCTGCCTTCCAGAGAACCACTCTCAACTGAGTGTATGTAGGTTAACCGTTTTTCTTGAGCTTTTGGGCAAGTGACTTAAACAAGTGTTTACATTACTGTGGGTAAACACTCAGTAAATTGTCACCGTTGTGTTCAGTTCCTCCTCTGTTTAGATCCTGCTCTGGGGCCCTCCTCCCCTGCTTCCTCCCTTTGTAGGTTTCCAAAACCTCAGTGAGCTGGGCCCTCCCAGGGGCCATAGGTGTTTGTGGGAATATAAAAAGTATACTCTGGGGACTGGAGGCACTGAGTTGTCCCTTTCCGGATGCAGCCTGGAGTCTCAATTATCTTATCCAGAGAATGTGAGCCATAATCTTCAGCCTTGGTTTCCGAGAATGCTGGGAGTTTGGGTGGGTGGGTCAGGAGGAGGCTGAGCCTAGCCCTAGACCTTTCCTTGGCCTTTAGTCCACAGGCACTCAGGCCCAAGGCAGCCACAGGTTGCTCCCAAGATTACCAGACAGGTGGCTGCTCATTTCTAATGCCAGGGCTTAGAGAATATTGTTCTGAGTGAGGGGCCCTGGCAGGCAGGCAGGCAGGCAGGCAGGCAGGCAGGCATTCTGCCAACAGGAACTCTTACACTTTTCCACAGAGCCCTGGCAGAGCAGGCCTCCTACACGCTCTTGCTCAATTTCTCCAATAATTACTTCAATATTTTTATATCCAGTTTGGGAGGAAGCCCTAGCAATGGGTCAGACATGAACTGTGGTAATAAGGGGGGGCGGGGAGCTTTTTTTTTTTTTAAAGCAGAAAATTGAATTCCTTTGGACTTGATTGTCTGGGAAGTCGACTGGTCCTATACAGTGAAGTCAAGTCTTGGCTGCTGCGTGCATGATGTAGAGTTTCTCAGAGTCTCTTCCTCATGTGTAAAACAGGGTTGTGCATGCTTAAGTCACAGGGTTACTTTTTAGGACTAAATGAGATTGGGTATGTTAAGTATGTTGCAAATAGGGCGTAGGTGTTACAGTTTTATTTCTCAGACTCCCACAGAGAAAAGGAAGAGAGAGAGTCTGAGTCTTCTTATCCCTGGGGCCGGGCCAGGTTTTGTCCTTTTGTTTTTAATTGTTGCTTGGACTTTTTGCAGATAGGAAGAGAAATTAATTAGCAAATTAAAGTACCCCAAAGTTCATTAGGTTGATGTTTGAGGTGTGTAGGGTCTTCTCAATGAAGCTTGGGAGACTGGAGTGAGTGACTCACCTCTGCTTTCTTTGTAATGGTGTTGCTAGCAATTAGGGACTAGTTACTGTGTTTCTGAGTTGACTCTGAATTGGCGACTGGAAGGGATTTCCTGAGAGATAATGTTTGGGGGGTGAGAAGAGAGGCCCTAGGCCTTCTCTAGCCTGGCTGCCTTTGTGTGACAGGCATGGGACCATGATGTTTAGGTGGCTTGCTAAGGCAGCCCCAGAAAGTGAAGGCAGAGGGTTTTTCTTAATTTTAACTGAGCCCTTAAGTTTGAGTGGTTGAGTGCAGCTCTCGGAGGAGAAGTTCCTGGCTGGGAGAAGGCCTTCAGAAAGCTGAAAGTCTCCCTGGGGTGTGTGTGTGTTGGGGGGGTGGTTGAGCCCATCTGTTCAGCTGGGCAGGTGTCTACCAAAGCCCTTGCGGGGTGGTTTTGAGGTTGGTGGGAGAAAGCGTCCGTGGGGTTTAGAGCTGTGGCCTTTTCACTACTTGCAGTTCCTTTCCACAACTTGGCTCAACTTTCTGGTGTCCAGGGGACTGGGCCAGATTCTTCGATTCCTCCTGGCTGGTAGGTGGTGGATAATGGGCATGCCTTTCCGTTCAGGAGCCAAGCACCAGATAGAGCTGTTGACGGGTCCCTGTTTGATTTGTTGTGGTTTGTCAGAGCCTTGGAATTGACTTCAGATGGACTGGGGTTTGAATCCCGTCTCTGTATACCCTATCTATGTGACGCAGGGCAGGGTAAAGTGTTTAGAGCCATAGAAGGCCCTGCCCCAGGCACCCCCATGGGCTCATGTGAAGCCTCCCAACTGAGTGCTGCAGGGGGAAGGTGGGCCTTTTCTGAGGAGTCCTGCAGGTTCCCCAGGTATGTCTCTCAGGGAGATCAGGCCTGCAGGTGTTGTCCTCTCAGCCATCTGGGAGCCCTGCAGCCTCCACTCCACTGAACTCTGTGGTAAGGCTCCCTTTTCTGGCTGCCTGGGTGTTTGCCTGCTACGTAATCAGCCTGGGAGGAGTAGTGGCCTTGCATAGTGTTTCTTTTCCCGGAATGTTATCTCTGCCCAGATTTGGCGGCAGCTCAATGTGACTTGACTGGTGCTGGCATTGCCAGCCCAGAGAGGGCTGGGTGGAGGGTGGGCAGTACCTCAGGTTGAACTGGTTAGGGGAAGCAAGGCTGACTGACCTGAGGGCTTGGTACGGATGGTACAGTCCCCTCAAGGGTGCATGGGGGCAGGGGGCAGTGGTGAGTGTAAGACTGCTTAAACCTCAGAGGCAGGCCCCTCTTGCCCAGCTATGCTATGAGGAGATCCTCTTCACTTGCTCAAAAGAAGACTCTGATCTAGAGGCGGGCACCAGATTCATGGGCACCTGGGCCAGCAAATAGCAGCCATAGGTAGCCAGGGCTCTGGGAGCCGCTTGTCCATGAGCCAATTCCCTTGGCTTTTGTGGTGCTGTCAGCTGAGCCTCTGCCTCTGTTTGTGCCCTTGGGAGGACGAAGCACTTGCTGGGTCTCTGCAGGGCTCTTGGCTCTCAGGTATTTCTCCATCAACATGCTGCCTCCCTTCCCCCTTCCCTCATATGCACACATGTGGACACAAACCCAGGACAATGTGTACTTTGAGGACATCTGTCCTGGCCTCTGCTCGGGAAAGGGTTCTCTCTCCCTTTTGGGGATGAGTCTTGGAACCTTCCAGTTTGGGGTGGAGGCTCATCTTCAGGGTTGGGAGAGGAGGCACAAGGAGCCTCCCCTGCGTCTAGGTCTTTAAGTTTTGGGAGGTTAGGTAACTAGTCCTTTAAGCCAGTTTTGTCCTGTTGCTTTTCCTGGGGAAAATATTTACTGACCCACGCACAGACTTGCCTTCCCTTCCGACAGGCTGAAATTGAGAAACATCCTCCAGGGCTATCTGGCTTTCTGATAGTGGCAGGAGTGACTCCTGCCTGTTGTAATTCCTCCCAGACGCTGAGCGAGTGTGGGAGCCTTCTCCTGATAAACCACGTGGGAGCTCCTTAGAACACAGACAGCAAGAGACAAATGTGGGATTGGACTCAAACTGTAGCATCTTGGAACCATAGCATCCCAGGATGGTACTATCCAGGCCCCTGGCCCCTATCCGTCACTGCTAGAGTTGAGGGTTCCTGCCTCAGGGCACACAACCAAGGAGTGGCCGGCTGGGGCTGGATCCCAGATCTCTTCCCAGCCCAGTGCTCTTTCTTGAGGTTATTGCCCAGTAGGCACCTAGTGCAGAGGCTCAGAGCAGCCTGATGTAGCCTAGAGTTTGGCAAGATCCCAGCTAGGTGTGTTTGTGGGTCCATCTGTATGGTGGCAACTTGCTTGGATGTCATTGATGGCTAAGGCATCTGGTAACTTCATTCTTTCAGTTCAGACAATGTGCCTATCCATTGCTGGGCCTTAGAGCTACAAAGAGAAGGATGACAAAAGGCCTCCTCTTTGGGAACTCACAGTTTAGGTGGAAAAGGCATAATTAAATGGTGCTGATGTCATTTAGGGAAATGTGTGTGTGTGTGTTTAGTCTATCCCTCTCCCTAATCATCATCTTTTCCTTTGGGTCTTCTTCCTTTCTTTTATTCAGAAACCCAGAGTTGATATAAAAGTTCTCCAGTCCTTCCAGTCCTGGTTTTGATTGTGAAAATGTTCCTCTAATTTCTGAAGCCTCACATTAGCTTTGTTGGGTAATCTTTAACTTGCTGCTTTATAATGACTATAATGAGACAGCAGCAGCCATATGGCTGGGTATTATGGTCTTTGGGTAGCAGCAGGGTAGAGATTCCCAGGCTGGGACTTGGCTAATTTAGGGGTTGGGAATGACAGGACCGTTAGTTCCAGCCTTTCCGGAGATTCTGTCCTAGGGGCCTTGCAGACTCTGGGGGCTCAGCTGGTATCTTGTTGTGTGTGAAAGGGGCCCAGTCATCCTGTGGTCAAGTTAAACTGGTGATTTCTCCACTGCCACTTACCCATTGCCCCCAACCCCTTGTTCCCTCCTCAGTGTCCCCTGCCTGTTCCTGATAAGAAGCAGAGACTGGAATTCTGCTTGAATCCACATCCACCTGGAAACTCCAGTTTTTCTTATCCAGTTAAGCAGCAACCTAGTTGTCTTAAGACAAATGGTCCACTCTTGCTGCTTAAATCCCTTGAGGGCCTGGCACTGTGGCCATTTTGCATTTGGCTCTGGCATTGCCCCGTGTGGTTTCCCGGCAGTAAGGTCAGCCAGACAGACCCTGACTCCTGTGGGAGTTAACAAGGCATGGGATTGGATTCAGTGCCCTCTACAGGGTCCCTCCTGACCTTTAACTTGGTGTGAGTTCTTGGGAGCCAGACTGTGGCTGTGATTGTAATGA